TTAACAACAGTTTCTCCTCACCAAGTCATACACCAGAGACAAAGTCCAACCAAACAATCGCTATGACCGCTGAAGCGCGGGGCTGTCTACCCAGCGACAGCCACTCGGTGGCGTTGCTCCAACGGGAGCCTTCTCGCAGCGGAAGTGGTGGAGAAGTGCAGCGTCTATTGAAGGGTGTCGAGTGTAGCGGTGATCTTACCACCTTGATACTTAATTCTTCATCTGTCAGCACTCCGACAAACACGACAAGCAATCAGGGCTGCCTCAAAGGCCATGGTTTGCCCCTTACCGCAGGTGTCCCTTACCTCACCGGTGTTGGGGGCTTCCAATCCTCCACTCAGTCTGGCGCCTATAACATGATCAACAGTCTTCCCGGTTTCTCAACGGAATCGCCAAATGGGCAGTTGGTACAATATGACACCCAGTGGAACGATTCACAGCTGCAGAACAGCGCTGGTAGCCGTACTGAAGCGCTCCACGAGGTGCCGCCATACGCCAGCAGCAATGTTGTGTCTCCGGAAATGAATCAATCCACCTGGAATTCCGCAATTGAGGTACCTATGAAAATGCATCTTGCTAATCAAAGCAATACTTTGGACAAGCATTCTTGCCCCATTCGCTTGATGCCATCTTTGGCCTCGATACCTTATATCGCGAATGGCCCTTTTCTACTTTCCTACTCTTTACTTGTACAAGTGAATCTTGTTTTCACTAAGCCGTAGGCGCGCAAATGCATTTTCAGGGTGAAATGCCTTCCAAGATTAATGCGCACTAAATAATACTAATCATGATTGTAATCTTGCAAAGGTTCGTTTGCTATGGTAAGTGCTCATAATTAAGTCCGTACAATCAAATGTTCGAGAAAAGTGTTTTCAGATCTCTAAAGCAGAGCTATCATGCATTCTGCAATAGCATAATCATTAAATGTAATCATTTCACCGCTTCTCCTGCTGCTGGGGTAATCGAATTGATGATTGCATATTCATTGCTGATTTAATCACACTTCCCTATAAGCTCCTCCATTCAGTTCACTTCATGAATATCTCTTTTGGGTTTCCGTTCATTATTTAGGAGGATCCTTAACAAACAATATGGTTTGAGCCATCATGAATCCACCATTTCTTTGGAATTGCAATA